CGCTGGGCTCTGTCTCTTCATAACGACGACCCAAACACAACAGGATGGTCGGGGAAAATAAGTCGCCGGAGGTCTGAGAAGGCCAGGAACGGAGGCGGACCAGGCGAAAGGAACCCGCTGGCGTCGCAGCTCGCACGAGGAAGGACGGGGAACCGAGAGGGGGCACGCCTTCTTAGAAGGCGGCGGGCCTCTCAGAAGACCTCGCGCCTTCTGAGCCCTCGACGGCTTCGGGGGAGGTTCGGAAACTTTTCAGAAGGCCAGGGGCCTTCGGGACCTTCTGCGAAAGCCCGCCCCCTCTGCCTTCCCCCCCCGAGTCGAGCCGCCGAGGGCAGGACTCGAGCGGCCTGCACTCAAGGGGCCCAAAGACACACACAAATCAACACACACAAATAGAAGGACTCCCCATATTTTCATATATTTTCTGGGCTTCTGCTATAATTCATTATTTTTCCCCGCCTCCCCACATTCCCGCACAATTCCTATATTTTCCCATATTCTCTTAGGGATCGACGATTCATTCTGTCTGTGTTTTTCACCTCCTGTGGCGGTGGACAAACCTCCCTTTAGCAAACCTCCCCGTAGTGAAAACGGCCTGGGACCGAAACCAACGGACCTGGACCCGCAAACATGACGGCCGCGACGCCCTCTCGCGAACCGAAAACGGCCAGTTCGCTAATCGACGTGTCAGGGTAGGAGGTCTGTCCACCCCCGATCCTGATGCAAGTATACCATAGAGGCGGGCCCTGGAATCGGCGGGGCCCTTGCAAGGGGTGCTCGGGGAGGAGGGGTCGGACATATGCCTCTTGCCGTGGCGGCGCCCTGCCTCACACGACCGGGCCAAGCACCCGGAGGAGAGGGGGGAGGGAGGGGGCTGGAGGCAGAGGAGAAAGGAGGAGGGAGCGGGGGGAGGGGAAGGAGGGAGCGGAGGAGAGAGCGGCGGAGGGAGGAGGAGGCAGGAGGAGGGAGCGGAGGAGGCAGAGGAGACAGGAGGAGGGGGGGAGGGGGCAGGAGGCAGAGGAGAGGAGACAGGAGGAGGGAGCGGGGGGAAAACCGGATCGGGTCGGGCGAAAGGGGGGGGTAGCAAAGGGGGGGGGGGGGGGGGGAGAATCAGCTCACGTAGCTGATTTTCCCGGCGCCTCCCGGCGCCGGAGGCGGCTATGTATCGAGGAATGGGCCCCTCGGTGGGGCCGAAACCAGCTGCATGCAGCAGATTTCGTCACCCCCCCTTTCCCTATCCCCCCCTTTCGTTCGGCCCGAGAGGAGACAGGAGGAGGGAGCGGGGGGAAAAGCAGAGGGCGCACCATCCAGAGCCGACAAAAAATCGCTGACGTTTGGCTACGCGCAAGAGTGACCCCATGCAAGGTTGGACCGTTGGTGCGCAGCGTCGGGGGGGCCAGGGGCGGCCAGCGAGGGGGGGAGGGGAGGCTGTGGGTCGGCAACAGAGGCCGCTCTTGGGAGACCACCAGGTATCGATACCGCTATCCCCCCGACCTCTGCTGGACTGGGGCACACTCTGACCAGGACTTCGAGGTAGGTAAATCCAGCCGCGGTGGCGAGGAGCGGGCAGCGGTATCCGTACCTACTCCTCCCCTGAGTTCTGGCGAGGAGCCACTCTTACCCATGGCCGCATGGTTCAGCCTAGCTAGAAGAACAAAGAACTGCAAACACACACAACTTCTCGGAGCTCCACACGGCTTTCTCAAATCGGCGCTGGACGCCCCTCCCTGGCGCGCGGAGCCCGCCAGGGGCGGCGCCGGAGGCGCTGCCAGGGGGCCCAGCGCCGCTCCAAGAATACGCACGGAGCTCCTTCGGTGGCAACTTCTGGGAGCCTCCCATACCATCTCGTCGGCTCTTGCGAATCCGTGCTAGTCGTTGCTAAATCGACGCTGATCGACGCTAAATCGACGCCGATCGACGCTCATCGACGCGACTTCGGCGCTACCTCAGCCATTCCCAGACGCCAATCGACGCCAGTCGACGTCAAAGTCAGGATTCAGAGAGTATACCCCAGGCTCCCAAGGTTTGCCACAGAGCGAGACCTTGTGCCGATGCCGTCGTTTCCTCCTCGCCTCGCGGCCCGTGCATGGGTGGCGCCGGCGGGCTGCCGCGGGCCTACCTGCGGTCGCGGTCGCGGTCGCGGTCGCGGTCGCGGTCCCGGCGGTCGTCGCCGCGGCTGCTGAGGGTCCCCGAGGCCTGCCACGACGTGGGCCTCTCTGGCCCCTTGTTGGCGTCCTGCGGGGGGCGCGCCGGGCGCAGCCGCGGCCGAGAGGCCCAGTCGCCCTGCTGCTGCTATGGGATGGGGCCGCAGCCTCCGTCCTCGATCCTCGAATCTCGAATCTCGATCCATCCTCGGTCCTCGATCCTCGAATCTCGACCCTCGAATCTCGAATCTCGATCCATCTGAATCCTCGATCCTCCATCCTCGATCCTCGATCCCCCCGGACCCTCCATCCTCGATATCCTCGAATCTCGACCTGCGCTCCACCCTCGGCCCTGGGTGTTCGCACCGCACGCCCCGGGTGCCTTCGAGGCCGAGCTCGACTTCCTCCAGATCTGGGCGTCATACATGTTCTTCGCACCAGGCAGTGTCGCCCGAAGTCGGGCCCTGGGACCATCACAGATCGGTCCGGCTCGAAAATGGAGCAGAAATATGGGGTCCTGGGCTCCAATTGTGACGTTCCGCGATGCTGCAACATTGTGCAACGCCGGATCTCAGGGTTCAATATAGGCTGCGCAGTGGCCGACTCGCGCTGCTAGCAGCCTGCAGGCGGAGACAGGGGGCCAACTGGGCTGGCATGCAGGATCGCTGCGTGCAGCATCGCCCCCAGCGCCAGTGGGGCATCACGCGGGACCGTCGTGCCGGCGCCGCCGGCGCCCGGCAGTCTATATGCTGCGCGGCGGCGGGGAGGGAGAACGGAAACAGAAGCATGCGAGAAGGCCTCAGAGGCCATCCAGCTCTCGCCCCATTTCGGGGATGGACAGACCTCCCTGTAGTAAAACGTGGTTTAGTGAAAACGACTTCGGGCCCAAACCTGGCGGGCGCAAGCCTGGAAAATAACGGCCGCGGCGCCCTCTCGAGAACCGAAAACGGACAATTCACTAATCGACGTGTCAGGGTAGGGGAGGTCTATCCACCTCCGCATTCTGCCAGCGAGCACGGCCAGGAGGGCCGCCGCCCGCAGAGGCAGCTCCAGGGCAAGGCGACCCCCCTCGCCATCGCTCGGACGCCCATTCCCCGTGCATTTTTCGGTTTCGTGCGTTTTTTTGTGTGCTCGATGGTCCAGGATCGCCCTCGATGGTTCTCGCCGGGAGAAAAAAAAACAAAAAAAAAAAAAAAAAACGTCCGAGCGATGCCAAGCCGCAGAGGCAGCTCCAGAGCAAGGCGACCCCCCGTGCGAGCGGGCGCGAGCGCCGCGCGTCGAACACGCGCGTGACCCCCCCCCTGGTGCGGTGCGCCCGCGAGGCGAGCCCGACGGACGCCCGGCGAGGAGGGGCCCCCCTGCGACGACTTGGGGGGAATCTGCGCTGCCCTCTCCCCAAGGGGGCCCAAAGGCACGCAAAGAGATAGACGCAGATCCCAGGATTCCCGAGGTTTTCCATATAGTTCGATGTGTTCGTCTTCCCCCCGTGTCCCAGATGTTCCTACACGTTTCTGGGGATCGCCGATTCATTCTATATGTGTGTGTGTGTTTTTGTCTCGGAGGAAGTTGAAGTCGTTCTTGAGCAACTGCACCCATCCCCGTTTGACTGTGGCGATGTTGTCGAGGAATCGTAGCAGAACACGTGGCGCGTGGTTTAGAAGTCGTGGTAAGTACTTGAGTCGTGCGATTGACTGGTGGGTAGTGAAGTCGGGAACGCCAGTGATTTCCGTGGCTTCCTTGATTGTGATGTGGGTGGAGGCGGAGTTGGTCTTCGGTAGTCCCATGGCGACGCGGTACGGTCCTGCGTACTTGACCGCCATAAATTTCGTGTCCTTCTTCGTCATGTCGTTCCAGATGTGGTGGCTGAAAGTGAGGGCCGAAGTGGACAAGGCGTGGACGTCCTTGATCTTCGCTTTGGCAGGGAGTCCTTTCCTACGTAGAATTTGCCGCTCCAGGGCTGTAACCGTTGTGGCGGATCGGTTGGCTCGAAGTCGGGTCTCGGGTCCCATAGCTGCACCAACCGTAATGGTCGTTCCCAGAGCCTTCTGTTGGTCGGTAATCTTGAGCTGGATGTCGAGGTCAGGAAGGTCGAGGGTGTTGATTCGGTTGGCTGCAAGTCGTTGCCTTTCTTTCCTGGCGTTGGCGCCGTAGAAGTTGAGGATGACCTTGGTCGTCTCGGGGTGCGGCTTGAGACCATGGGCGAGGGCGGTCTGGCATAGGTTAGTGGCTGCTATAGTGGTGGCCTCGATCAAGTCTGTTGCGTCTGCTGTGGATGTAAGTCTGGTGAGGTCGTCAACGTACGAGAGGTGCCGTAATGTGTCGCCGTCGTGGTGTTCTTGGGCGAATATAGGGTGGGGGCAAGGAGGGATTGGATGTCCGTTGTGATTGTCTTCCGGTGTACTGGCGTCGTGGTCGATCGCATTCAGGAGCAGAGCGAAGTGCCTGTTGAAGGCGACGTCGGGGAAGGGGACGCCTGGTCGGGTTCCAGTAGTCGGCACTTGATAATGGGTAGCCTCACGAGCTGTCATCCAGTTGGATGTGTGGTCGTCTGAGATCATCTCGCAGAGGTGGGCTTCGTCGATCTTGCTCGTACTACTGTCTGGACGCGTCCTCCTCTTCCCCCTCCTCCTCCTCCTCCTCCTCCTCCTCCCCCTCCCCCTCCTCCTCCTCCTCCTCCTCCTCCTCCTCGCCCCTCATCCTTCAAAAAAGGAGGAGAGGCAGCAGGAGGAGGCGCCCGCCGGTCCTCGAGGTTGACGTACGCTCCGGCGAAGAGGCCTCCGAAGCCCTGGGCCTTCTCGGCCTCGCGCTGGATCTGGTACTGCTGGCGGTTCCATTCCCTCCACGCGTCTCCAAGAGGGCTCACCTGCGGGGGATGTTAAGAGTTAGGTCGGGCCTGTCCCCCTACAGGGGGATTTTGGACGAGAAATAAAGCAAACCCCAACAAATACTCAAAAGATGCCCAACAATACAAAAAAAAAGTCCCCAGACTACATGTTCTACTAATTTTGAATATTCCCCCTGTAGAGGGTCAGGCCCGACTTAAGTGTAGAGGGCAGAAAATCCACCCCCAGAATGATCACCCAGGGTCGTGTAGTACACGCCAGTTGTCCGGTCCGGGTGTTTTGTTCCTCCCTTGAATGCTGTTGGGCGATATTTTCCACCACCACTACCATATGTAGGACGGAGGAGAAGGGAGGATGAGGAGGTCCTCCTCCTCCTCCTCCTCCTCCTCCTCCTCCTCCTCCTCCTCCTCCTCCTCCTCGTCCCTCTCCTACATATGGCAGTGGTGGTGGGAAATGGGCCCCTCAGATGCGCTGGCACGGATCAGCGCTGGCACGGGTCAGCCAGAGCCACGTCGCGAGCCCGGGCCAGCCACGCAGGAACTCCCAAACGATCGACCCCGCGTGGCTCCCAGACAGGTCGGCCAGCGGGGATTGGCCGACCCCATCCGCGCTGAGCCTCGCCGCGCGAGCCCCGGACGTGGGGCGTCCTCGCTGCGCGCACCTGCTCGATCCCCCAGATCTCTAGCGACGCAGGAAAAATCTCGCCCTAGGCGTTTCGCTATCGTCGACGCCTGGAGCACGTCTCCCGGCCTCAGGTCAGCCAAGGGAGCGTGCCTCGCAACTCTCGACGCTCCTGGGCCCATTTGTGGCCGTCTGCAAGCCAGCCACGGGGACAGACAGGGACGAGAGTCCACCAGGGGGGTCGGGGGCTCTGAAGACATGTTGTTTCCATCGGCGGCGAGGCAGAGGCAGTCCACTCCAGCGTGTGGCTACTCGGGGCAGCCGAAATGCGAATTGTCCGGCGTGCAAGAGGTAGGAAAAAGGCGAGAGCGGCCGCGTGGGGGGAGGCTCTGAAGAAACAGCAAGATCGGAGGTCTGGGTCCCTTCCTCGGCGGTTAAAAAGATGGAGCCCTGAGCGATGGGGCCCTCAAGGCGAGGGGCCTCGAAAACAATACAAAACAATTCACCTGGGGCCCCTTCTTACCATCAGGGCCCCACCCCTGAGGGCTCCATCTTTGAGCCGCAGACCATCCTCCCTCATTCATCAGCCACCTTTGACACTGGAGTACCCCAGCGAAAGCCAATCCCGAGGCTTCGGAGGTCCCGGCGGGAGATGAGCCCCCCAAAAGCCTCACCAGGCATCTGGAGGCCCAAGCCTGTCCGAACCCCCCCCTCTCGCGCCAGCCCCTTGCGGGCGCCGCCAACCACTCCGACCTTGCGGCCCTCGATCCTCTCTCCCTGGATCCTCACTCCGGGCACTGCCTGGGACGAGGAGAACATCGATCGGTGATCCCCAGCCCCCCCCCGCCCCTCCGTTCTCCGACTGGCATGCAGAGGCCCCCCCTGCCGCGCCCTGGGGCCAGGAGCCCCTGCTACACTGGCCGTGTCCAGGAGGGCCCAGGCAGGGCCGCCGTGGGCAGGGGAGCGGCGGTGGCGCGCAGCCACCGGCCTCTGCCTGCTGCCCCCCTCTCGCGTGCCTGCTTCCCTCCGACTGCCGCCCCTGTTCCCCGGACCTCTCACGTCGCGTGGCTGTTCCTCGTGACGCGGGCCCCAAGGCTCCCGACTCTCCCTCTCCTCACTCTGTCTGTCTGTCTCTCTCTCTCTCTCTCTCTCTCTCTCTCTCACTCACTCGCTCGCCGCGGGCGTCGCTTTTCTTGCTGGCCCCGGGGACCAAACAACTGCGCCCAGAGGGGAGCCGCACTTATCCGCCACCATGCCCCCCTAGCACGCTGAGGCGTGGAAAAATGCCGAGGTCTGTCTGGTACGGTTCTTTTGAATTCTAAGAAGGCACCCTCCCCCTCCCCACTCACAGACTCCTGCGTGCACCGTCCCTCCTTTCCGAGGCCACTTCCCTCCTGCCCACTGGAGGATGGTGCACTTCCAGCGTGGCAGCGAATGCCTAAACCCCCATTCCACCGATGCCCGCTCGAGGATGGTGCAGTTCCCACATGGCAGCTAGTTCCCAACCCCCCATTCCACGCGTGCCCATTCGAGGATGGTGCACTTCCCGCACGGCAGGTAATGCCTGAACCCACGTTCCGTGCGCGCCCGCTCGAGGATTGTGCACTTCTCGCATGGCTGCTAACTCCTAAACCCCTCATCCCTCGCGCACCTGCTCGAGGATCGTGCACTTACTGTATCCCAAGGCCTTCAAGACGGCCCAATATGCCTTCAAGAGGGCCGAAAAGCGCAACTCGAGGACCCCAAACAGGGTCCGAGGAAGGCAGCAGTATTCAGTCGCCTCCAGCGTTTTAACGATTTAAGCATTCTTGCTCTTTGGGCTGCCGTCATCTCAAGACGTCCCACGAAGCCTCCACGATGGCCCCAAGAAAGCCCAAGAGGCCCCAATGGCGGCCCAATACCCCGAGAGGTATCCAAGACAGACCCAATACGGCCCAAGAGGGCCTCCCGTGGGACCCAAGACGGCGTTAGAAGTCCCTTCGACGGCCCATTTGACGGCACCAAAGGCGGCCTCACGACAGCCAGGCCAAGATGGGCCCAAGACGGCCCAAGAGAGCCCAGCCCCAAGACGGCGTAGGAAGGCTCCAGAATGGCACAACAGGGCCCCAAGACTGCTCCAGAGGAGGCCAAGATAGCCCCCAGACGGCCCAAACGAGTTCCATGAGAGCTCCTCAGATAATGAAAAAGAAAGATGTCACATGTGACGGCATTCCTCTTCCTCCTCCTGCTCCTCCTCCTCCTCTTCATACTCATCCTCCGACTCCGCCTCCTCCTCATCATCATCATCATCCTCCTCATCATGATCATCATTAGCAGCAGCATCATCGGCAGCGTTATCATCATCATCATCATCATCATCATCATCATCATCATCATCATCATCATCATCATCATCATCATCATCATGATCATCATCATCATCATCATCATCATCATCATCATCACCATCACCATCATCATCAGCACCACCATCATCAGCATCATCAGCATCATCATCATGACCAGCATCGTGAACATCATCATCATCATCCTCATCATCATCATCATCATCATCAGCAGCATCCTGATCGTCATCATCATGATCATCATCATCATCATCAGCAGCAGCAGCAGCATCAGCACCATCAGTATCATCATTAGCAGCAGCATCATCAGCATCAGCATCATCGTCAGCATCCTCACCCTCAGCATCATCATCAGCATCATCGTTATATGCAACATCAACAACAGCATCGTCGTCTTCGTCATCATCATCGTCATCGTCATTGCCACCATTAGCATCATCATTAGCATGATGGTAGATATGATGATGCTGATGATCCTCATCATCGTCAGCATCATCATCAGCATCATCATCCTTATCCGCGGTGTCCTCCTCCTCCTAATCATCATCACCACCACCATCACCATCACCCGCACATCACTATCACCATCATCAGCAGCAGCATCAGCATCATCATCATCAGCATCCTCATCATCCTCAACATCATCATCATCACCAGCATCGTCGTCATCGTTATCGTCATCATCATCAGCATCATAAGCATCATCGTTAGCATCATCATCACCACCATAAACATCACCATCACCATCATCATCATCACCATCATTATCATCATCAACAGCATCATCATCATCAGCATTATCATCATCAACACAATCAGCATCACCATCATCAGCATCGTCATCGTCATCGTCATCAACATCATCATCATCATCAGCAGCAGCATCATCATCATCAGCAGCATCAGCATCATCATCAGCATCATCATCATCGTCATCAATATCATTATCATCTTCATCACCGTTATCAATATCCCAGTTATCCTTATAACCTTCATCATCCTCATCACGGCTATCCCACGCCTGGAGACACGAGGTGTCACACGTGGCTGCCTCCCGAGGCCCCACGAACAGTCCCCACCCAGAATGCTGGGCTGGCACGGTGGCGGGACTTGCTGCGGGCAGTTGGAAATGATACACTGAAGTATGCGGGCCTTCGCCGAAAACATAGAGTACATATGTAATTGAACGTTCCACGCCTGCGAATCTACCCCGAAAGTGTGCTCGGTGGCTGTTGCGAGCATAGTTTCATGGTCATGCTACTGTCCCAAACCAGGGGCCGAGATCATGAGAACATGCCAGACGCGGTTTGCCGCCCGCGACGCCGGAGGTGCCCGGGTCGATCACCTCTTTCGTACTTGTCACCTCCCGCACTCAATCGAAGAGACGACCCAGGCATCCGACGGCCCGATTCATGCTCTGGGCACGTGCCCCCTGACCTCGACTCATGGGAGAAACAGGGACCACCACCACCGAGAACCCATTCGGAGAGGGCCACCCTCTGGGCGGTCCCCCCCCGACGGGTTCTCTGTGGCGGCGGTCCGTGCTTCTCCTCTCGCCGGCCCCTTCCCAGGGACTGGCTTTCATCCTGAGTCGTTTCTGCTGACTCGGGAGCGTCCAAGAGGGGGGTGTCCAAGAGGGGGGGGTGCAAATCATGACCGGCGGCATGTGCGCGGCCCAGCAGGGGGGCCAGGGACGTGATGAAATGAGAAGAGGCGCCATGAAATCTGGAGAAATATCATGCCCCCCGCCATGCTATCCACCCCCCCCTAGTCCTCACCCCCCTCTTTTCCGCCCCCGACTGACGGGTTCTCGGGCAGGGGCGCTGGCCTCCAGAGGCCCAGGGTGGCAGGAAAAAGCGAGGCCGCCTCGGCCTGCTCGAGCCTCTGCACGTCCAGGCCTCGTGAAGAGACGGGGGCATATGCAGACAGGTCCTCAGGGAAGCGGGTCCTGGACCCGGGGGCCTTGCCCCGGGGCCAGCTGTCTGTCCTCGTTTGTTGGTGGACGGTCTCTGGTCCCGGGGCCCATGGAGGGCCCATAGGGGGCCACATGCGAACCCTACCCCTACCCCCCACGATTTCTGAGGGGGAGGGTGGGGTTCACTTCGCTCGGGAGCTCTCGAGCGAAGTGAGCCCCACCCTCCCCCTCAAGAATCGTGGGGGGTAGGGGTAGGGTTCGCATGTGGCCCCCTATTTATCATAAAGCCCGAAGACGTTGAAAACGCTATTCATGGCGAGACGGGGGGCGGGGGAAGAACGGGCGGGGGACTGGACTGGACAGGCGTGCGCGAGGGGGGGGGCCGGTAACCTTCGAGATGTGGATGCGCTTCTTGCTCTCCTGAGGCAGACACTCGCAGGCGAGTGAATGGAGGGAGGGAGAGTACAGTCAGCGGCAAGCAACGGAGAGGGTGCGACATTTGCAGGATAGCGTTGTTTCTCCTGTCCCGCCGGTACCCCGTTGAACAATCTTCCAACCTTTCCACCAGCGGAAACTACAAATCTGAGGCGCCCAGGACAAGGGAGGCGCAGAAGGCAAGACAGAACTCCGGGAGGCCACACAGGTGGATGCTTCCTCCTGCAGAAGCAGCCACAGTCTTCCTTTGGAGGAACCCGCGTGCGGGGAGGGATACAGTTGGGGCACGACCACAAGAAACTTTCCACAAGAAACCCAACCCTGAGACCCCAGGGCGTCCATCGATTCTTGGTGTGGAAACGCAACGCCCTCCACAGCAGAACCATCGAAACCCAAGAAACCTGGGGCACCCTGGAGGCAAGCAGGGTGCTTCTTAGCGTGGGTTCGCACTGCAGGGGGAGCAGGATCCCAGGAGAGCGAATCTGAGGGGGCCCTGGGACACACAAATAAATGTGTCTGTGTGATTTTTCCGCCCCGTGCGCCCGCCGCCACCCGAGAGGACGGGGGGGGGGGGCCTGCTTGGAGGGCCGCCCGCCTCGCGCTGCCCCCCTGGCGCGCCCCGCAGGGAGGGCACCCCTTTGAAGGGGCCCTGGGACACACAAGTAAATAGACACAAACAAAAGGATTCACCATACTGTCCCGTGTTTTCTGGGTTTTTGTCTTCCCCCCCGCTTCCCATATTTTCTTATATTTTCTTAGGAATCGACGATTCATTGCGCCTGTGTGTTATTTTCCCTCCTGACCCTTGCCGGCTGGGGGGGCGGCGCGGTGGGGCGCGGGGCTGGGAGCGAGGTGGCACGAGGAAGCACGACTGGAGGAATCCCCCCAGCCCTTTCGGACTTGAGTGGTTCGAAGCACGTCTCCTTCTCCTCACCCCTTGCTCCCCCTTCGGAGAGGGGTTTGTCCCTTCCCCTGCCCCCTCCCCCTTGACCTTGACCTGGAAGGGGGGAGGCTCGCGACCGATTGGTGCGCTTAGGAGAGCCTTGGCCAGAAAGCAGAAATCACTGATTTAGCATGGGGTGCGGGCCCATTTCGGCCTCCTGTGGAGGGAGGGACCCCAAGATTGCCCCGAATGCTCCCAAGAGGGCCCCAAGAGGCGCTCGAGAGAGGCCCCGAAAAGGTTCCAAGAGGCGTCCAAGAGACCCCAAAAGAGGCTCCGAGAGGCTCCCCGGAGGCCCCCAAGATGCTCCAAGAGCCCCCAGGAAAGCCAAGAGGCATGCCCCCAAGACGCTCCAAGAGGACTCGCAGGAGCTTTCGAGGGACATCCGAAGAGACTCCGAGAGGCATCCAAGAGGCCTCTGGCCATTATGCTCGCCCTCCTCCTCCTCCTCCTCCTTCTCCTCCCTCTCCGTTCATCCTCACCTTCCGCATCCGCCTATTCATCCTCGTCCCTCCTCCTTCCCTCCCCCTGCCCTACCTCCTCCGATTCCTCCTCGTTCCTCCCCCTCTTGGGGTATGACGGCTTCCCAAATCCCTGACAGCACAATGCTCCCCCGCCTCATGATCAGGGCAACTCGCCTGGGCTTCGTTTCTGGATGGGTTGGTGGGGTTACCTTTTGGCACGCGGGCACGCGAAGCGGGCCGAACGCCGGGCGAGCAGGGGCAGCCTGTGCCACCACGGGCTGGTGGGGCTACTTGTGGTTCGCAGGCTCGCGAAGCAGGTCAAAAGCCGGGCAGAGCTAGGGCGGGCCGCGCCGAAACGCAGGAAGAAGCAGTAAGGAGCAACGCCCCGCTCAGAAGCTCGGTGGGGTTACCTTTTCGGTCGCGGCCGCGAGACGACGGTCAGGCGGCAAGAGCAAAGTCCGGGACGCGAACTAATCGGTGGGGTTATGCGAAGAGTCGAGAATATGTTCGGGCATCCTGCAGAGGATCTACACCTGGCTGGTTCCAGACACCCTGAACCCCTAAAAAAGGCTGCACTCTCCTGGGAGCGCATCGCTTCCTGCCGCTGGCTCCCGCCGGCCGTCTGCCGGCGTCCGCCAGCGGAGCCGCCCCGGGTCACTGCTGCCGCCTCCCGCCGCCCTTCCGCCACCCCTCCGTCGAGGCAGAGATGGCAACCCCTTCGATCCAAAAAAGGGGAGGGTCTTTCTGGAACGCCTCATGTGTGGCCAAAGTGCACCGAGGTGGTATACAATCAGACGCGGGATTATCGGCCACAGGGGGGTACGAGAAACGACATGGACGACGGGCCTTGTTTTTACTATTGGTGTGCATAAATCAAGTCCATCAGAGGTGCACGTCAAACTATTGGATCCCTGCAATAGGAGAGCCCCTCAAAGGCAGGCTTTAGAAATACCCCTTCCTCGTTCCAATCATCCACTCAAAGCCCGACCCGCCCGTTTTGGGGCAGGCACGTGCTACATGCGAGCTGGTTCCTGCCAATTGCTTCCAGTGGTCGCCAGGACCCACTGCCGCGTCCACGTTCGGAGATAGCCCTGCAAGAGTACCGAGGCACACAACTCGAAGAGCATGCGCCGAGAGAAGAGGATGAGAGCTTTGATAGTTAAGACCCCTGAGCAACAAAACAAATACCCAGGTCGACTGCGATTGAGAATGAGCGCCCAACGACGAGGACCCCGCCACACCCAAAACACACACACAAACACAAACGGAAAGACAGACCGATGTGAGGTGGAGCGCCCAGGGGCATGCAGACCTCGCCGTTTGCACGACAGGCTTCCGCAAAGGAAGAGTCGGCCAGGCACGCATCGAGGGTGGAGGAGGAGCGCAAATCACACAAACAAGTACCCAACCGTACCCATCATTTCCAAACAATTGGCGGGCAACGGCCCCTACAGTTAAGTCGGGCGTGTCCCCCCACAGGGGGATTTTCGACGAAGGATAAAAAATTGTCAAAACAGATTCCCGAATGGTCAAACAAAACACTCAAAAAATGGTCCCCAGACTATTTCCCCATATCCTAAGGATTGGGGTTCTTGTTATTACTCTGACGCCTCCCACTGCTCCTCCTTCCTCCCGCTCGCGCCTCCCTCCTCCCAATGATAATCACCAGATAAGACAAGACAAAATAAGATACTACAAAATAAGATAAGATAGCACCAGATATGATAAGAAGAGATTTCAAGATAAGATAAGATAAGTTAAGCTCACACTCACACTCTCTCATGATCACAAAACGCTGCCAGGGGCATCACTTGGGAGCCCCAAGGGGGAGCCACCCTGGCTGATCTCACGAGCCCGTTCGCGCCGATTTTGGTGGGACGTCTCAGCTAGAATTGCCGTTTGGCCCCCCAACATGTATCTCTTGAGAGCCTCATGGTCACAAAACGCTGCCAGGGGCATCATTTGGGAGCCCCAAGGGGGAGCCACCCTGGCTGATCTCACGAGCCCGTTCGCGCCGATTTTGGTGGGACGTCTCAGCTAGAATTGCCGTTTGGCGCCCCCAACATGTATCTCTTGAGAGCCTCATGGTCACAAAACGCTGCCAGGGGCATCATTTGGGAGCCCCAAGGGGGAGCCACCCTGGCTGATCTCACGAGCCCGTTCGCGCCGATTTTGGTGGGACGTCTCAGCTAGAATTGCCGTTTGGCGCCCCCAACATGTATCTCTTGAGAGCCTCATGGTCACAAAACGCTGCCAGGGGCATCATTTGGGAGCCCCAAGGGGGAGCCACCCTGGCTGATCTCACGAGCCCGTTCGCGCCGATTTTGGTGGGACGTCTCAGCTAGAATTGCCGTTTGGCGCCCCCAACATGTATCTCTTGAGAGCCTCATGGTCACAAAACGCTGCAGGGGCATCATTTGGGAGCCCCAAGGGGGAGCCACCCTGGCTGATCTCACGAGCCCGTTCGCGCCGAGAGACGTCTCAGCTAGAATTGCCGTTTGGCGCCCCCAACATGTATGAGAGCCTCATGGTCACAAAACGCTGCCAGGGGCATCATTTGGGAGCCCCAAGGGGGAGCCACCCTGGCTGATCTCACGAGCCCGTTCGCGCCGATTTTGGTGGGACGTCTCAGCTAGAATTGCCGTTTGGCGCCCCCAACATGTATCTCTTGAGAGCCTCATGGTCACAAAACGCTGCCAGGGGCATCATTTGGGAGCCCCAAGGGGGAGCCACCCTGGCTGATCTCACGAGCCCGTTCGCGCCGATTTTGGTGGGACGTCTCAGCTAGAATTGCCGTTTGGCCTCCCCAACATGTATCTCTTGAGAGCCTCATGGTCACAAAACGCTGCCAGGGGCATCATTTGGGAGCCCCAAGGGGGAGCCACCCTGGCTGATCTCACGAGCCCGTGACGAGAGAGAGAGAGAGAGAGAGAGAGAGAGAGAGCAGAGAGAGAGAGAGAGAGAGGAAGCGAGAGAGAGGGAGAGGAGAGAGAGAGAGAGAGAGAGAGCGGAGAGAGAGAGAGAGGGGGAGTTGAGAGAGGAGACAGGCGAGAGAAAGAGAGAAGAGAGAAGAGAGAGAGAGAGAAGAGAGAAGAGAGAGAGAGAGAGAGAGAGATAGATATAGAAGAGAGAGAGAGAGGAGAGAGAGAGAGAGAGAAAGTGGAAAGAGAGGGGGGGGGAGAGAGAGAGAGAGAAGAGAGAGAGAGAGAGAAGAGAAGCGAGAGAGAGAGAGAGAGAGAGATAGAGAGAGAGAGAGAGCGGGAGAGAGAGAGAGAGAGAGAGCAGAGAGAGAGAGAGAGAGAGAGCGGGAGAGAGCGAGGGAGAGCGAGAGAGAGCGAGAGAGAGCGAGTGAGAGCGAGAGAGAGAGAGAGAGCGAGAGAGAGCGACAGAGAGCGAGAGAGAGCAAGAGAGAGCGAGAGAGCGAAAGAGAGAGAGAGAGAGAAGAGAGAGAGAGAGAGAGATAGAGAGAGAGAGAGAGAGAGAGAGAGAGATAGAGAGAGAAGAGAAGAGAAGAGAAGAGAAGAGAAGAGAAGAGAGAGAGCGAGAGAGAGAGAGAGGGAGAGTGAGAGAGAGAGGAGAGAGCAGAGAGAGAATAGAGAGAGAGAGAGAGAGAGAGAGAGAGAGAGAGAGAGAGAGGCAGAGATAGAGGCAGAGAGAGAGAGGCACAGAGAGAGAGGCAGAGAGAGAGAGAGGCAGAGAGACAGAGGCAGAGAGAGAGGCAGAGAGAGAGAGAGAGGCAGGGAAAGAGAGGCAGAGACAGAGAGAGGGCAGAGAGAGAGAGAGAGAGACAGAGAGAGCAGAGAGAGCAGAGAGAGAGGCAGCTCAGTCACACTTAAATCCAGATTCGTCCTCACCGAGTCCCACCACCAAGGGAGCGCCAGCAAGGAGATGCACATATGGGGATCCCCACGCAGTGAATAATTTCTGACTGTTTTTGAATATTCCTCCTGCAGAGAGACAGGCCCGACTAAACCCTAAAGCTCGGCCGGCAGAGGGCGTCGAGATCTACCACGACCCTGCCCCGCTTCTGGTAGAAGCCTCCTCGGAGAGCCTCGACCACCCCTCGGTCCGTTGCGAGGGTGCCGAGGAGCGAACTCGCCTCAAAGGGAAGGCAAAATAATACAGTAGGCTGGTGCCGTGACGACCCCAGCGTTGTTCTGACGCTGCGCGGATCTTTCGGCCTTGAAAAAAGGTCGGCTGCTTCCCGATCGCCAGATCGCTCCACATTGGCCGATTCTGGCGCACTGACGGCGCTCAACCTTGCACGCCTGCGGCGGCGGGGTCGCCGCCGCGTCGACACGACACGAACCGACCGTAATAGGCAAACCCGTTACCCTATCTTTCCCAGGGCCGTGCTCCAGAAGGCCCGACCAAGACGCGGCTGGCAAGGCCACTGGGGCGCGCGAGAGCGGCGACGGCTCGGGCTCCTGCCCACACCGTCGGGGGGCGCAACAGAAAGCTTTCTGCTGCAGGTTATGATAATTTGACTTGCATTTCATTCCCCCCCCGCCTCCCCCGCCCGGCCGCCTTTTCAAGCAGCGCCGCTCGGCCGAGAGGCGTGCGATCGAATTCCGACTCGCGTGAAGCCCGGATTTTTCCTCTCGGTCCTTACCACGCCCCCCGCCTGCCCCATCGATGCAATCGATCTTGCCGAAGTCAGAAATACCCCTGCGTAGGACCCAGCTATATGAATTTGTGCATGTGCGCACTCGCTCCTCCTCCTCCTCCTCCTCCTCCTCCTCCTCCTCCTCCTCCTCCTCCTCCTCCTTCTCCTCCTCCTCCTCCTCCTCCTCCTCCTCTGGGAGGCGTCTTCAGTGGAAGCCCCTTTGGGGCCACGAAACGTGTGAGGGCTGTGCCGACATGCGCGTGGCGGACGACTTTGGACCCTCCCACGGGAGCCGTCGGTGAAGCTCCACACGGGGCCGCGAAAAGCGCGAGGGGTGTGCCGAAAGGGGTCGGGAGGGCGCACGCGTGGACCCTACCTGTGAGGCCTTCGGTGCACCTCCCAATTGGGGCCACGAAACGCGTGGGGGGGTTATGCTGAAATGGGTCGGGCGGGCGCGTGTGAACCCTCCCACTGGGGCCCTCGGTGCAGATCCTTTACAAATCAGGGGCATGCCGAAACGGGTCGGGCGGACGCATGTGGACCCTCCCACTGGGATTTTCGATGGAGCTCCCTTTGAGGCCACGGAGCGTGTGAGGGATGTGCCCACACGGGTCCCGGCGGACGTATGTGGACCCTCCAGCGGGGCTTTCGGTGGAGCATGTTGTGGGGCCACAAGATCGAAAGCCGCTGGGTCAATGGGGTCTGAAAGCCGCTGGGTCCCCCCTGAAAATCCTTGGGCCACCTTGGGCCCGGGACACCTCTGGGTGCACTCGCAAGTTGGCGGCACCCTTCAGGCTCGGTCGGGGACGCTTTCGAGCAATTGCGCCTCGCCGAGGGAACTCCAGGGCTTCCCAGATGGCCCCAAACGGCCACCTGAGACCCAGGTTATGACCCGACGGCGATGAAGTGGCGGAGGGCACGCGGGTGGCGCGAGGAAGGCGGTCTTCAAAGGAAGTCGGGGAGCTTCTAAGCAGGCACGGAGTTCGCCTTCTAGCGTTGCGAGAACTTTGACGCCTCAAGCAGCGAGCGACGGGCGCCAATCGTTCTGCGCGGCGCCCTGGAGGCCTGGAGGCCATCGCGAGGGCCACTGAAATCCAATCGGGGCATTATCGGCATCGTCAAATCGATCCCCACCCCCGCTGGGGAAGGCTTGGCCCCGCTGTTCGACACCCCCCCCCACCCGGAGGGGACAGAGGCCCCCTCCGCCGGGGTCTCGCGGCATCCACCGCACCTTGATGGGGGCAAGCTGGTGCGGCTGAGGACCCCTGGCCCAGTGGGGACAGGGACAGGTCTGACGAGGCTGATATTAACACCGCCGTGTTGAAGCTGCTGAAACGTCTCCCGACCTCCAGGGCTGAACCTAAACGGTGTTTTTCGTTATCGCTTTGTTGTCGTTTTCCCTCGCTTTTGTCTCGAATCCGCCTTCACCGCAAAATGAAGTCGAAACGAAAACGGCCCACGAAATCACCAAAAACACCGTTTAGGTCCAGCCCTGCCGACCTCCGAGAGCTTCCCCGAAACTATCCAACGATAGCCACAGGCGGCGCGGAGCAGGGGGCGGATCCTGCCACCGCACGATCTGCGAGTTCTCCTCGAACCAGGGGTGCCGCTTGAGCCGCATGCAGAAGGCCTGCTTCGCCTCGACGTTGTCGGCGAGCACGTCATTAATCTCCCTGGCGCGGGCGCGCAATCCCCGAACAAGGTACTGCAGGAGCCAGGCCACTCGACTTCACGCTTCGCACCACGTGAAGCGCGAAGCGTGCACATTTTCGCGATGCGCGCCGACCACTTGGAGAAAACCATTGTTTTTCTGTTATTCTTTATAGGAGCCCCAGGAGCCTCCAGGGGTCAGAGGGCCTCACCCACAACAGGAGCATCACAACTCACTACACGGTCCCAGTGCCCAGTGCCCAGTCTGGCCCAGTGCCAGGCAGCGTCGCGCGCGGGGAGCGCGGGTATCTTGGCGCACCTGCGGGAGTGCGGGCGGTCTGGAAGAAGGGCCGGGGGAGATAGCAATGAGGACAGAGGAAAAGGCACCCACGTGCTGGCAGAGCCCGTCCTGGCGTGGAAGGGGTGATATTGGAGCCGCAGAACATCAGATCAGGCTGTTCTCCGCGCTTGATGGCACGAACCGTTGTCCAAATCCTTCCAAGCGTACTTGTTTGTTTGCAACCATGCCAAGCCAATTCGCTGCATCCACACAATACGCGACACCAAGAAGAAACCGCAAGACATCGCGACTATATTGCTGATGGGCACGCGCAGAGAGAAGAGGGAAAAGTAGAGTGGAGGAAGGAGGAGAAAGGAGAGAAGATTAGGCAAGTTAGGTGCGCGCGTTCGCCCCATCCGACAGCCGATTCCTCCCATCCATCCCTTCCCATTGCGATGACTTTCTCTATCAACCGATGGGTGTTTTGGCGAACCTGTATCTCCGAAATGACCCCATCGTGTGATGCACAGTCAGACAAGGGAGCTGTATACATTGGAGAGGTTGGGGGAGGAGGTGGCGGATGAGCTGGAGGATGAGAAGGATAAATGTGAGGAGCATTAAGAAGAAGGAGCTGGAGGAGGAGGAGAATCAGCAGCACCAAGAGCGAGTACGTGGAGCGGGAGAACCAGGACAAACCAGGAGAAGGCGGAAGAGGGGAAAGGAGGGAGGCGGCAACGACGAAGAAGGAATCGGATCTAGAAGTGTGCCCACCGGCTGGGGCGAGAGCGCCATCGTGAAGGTCGGGAGCAAATCGCGAACCCTACAATGAGACCAACGCTGCAGCGGAAGCACCAACAACAAAAGCGTCAAGACCACGTGCCGCTTGGAAGCGACACATGTGCGTCGATGTGTGTTTTGTATGTACGATCAACGGTTGGAATCCTCTGCGTGACAAGTGTGCGGAGGGGATAACGGAGAGACGAGAGGAGTGGAGACGGGAGGAGAGAGGGGTGAGAGGAGTGCGGCAAGCTGGGTGCGCTCGCTCTCCCGTCCCTTCCCGGCCTGCTCGGATCACAGACCAGCGCCTGCACCGATCACGGCGGAGGCCCGACCACAAGAGAAACCTCCCACGAGAGGCCCCACCCCTGAGACCCCCGGGCGTCCGGTGAGATTGCTGGCGCGGGGACGCCACGCCTGCCACAGCCAGGCCGCCGACGCCCAGGAAGCCCGGGGGCACCCCGGAGGCACGCCGGGCGCTTCCCAGCGTAGGCCTCCAGCCTTAAGTCGGGCTTGTCCTCCTACAGGGGAATTTACGACGAGAAATAGAAAATACCCCAAACATACTCCAAAAAGGTAAAAAAATACTCAAAAGATAGTCCCCCGACTATTTTCGGACTATTTTTTTTTTTACTATTTTTGAAATATTCTTACTTTTTCGTCGAAAATCCCCCTGTAGGGGGACAGGTCCGACTTAACGCCACGCCTGCCACAGCCAAGCCGCCGACGCCCAGGACGCCCCGGGCACCCTGGAGGCACGCCCGGTGCTTCCCGGCGTGGGCCTCCAGCTGCACGGGGCTCGCGCGTCGCTCCAGGGCCCCGCGCCGGGCCCTCGAGGCGCCCCCCGCGGTGTGGGCGGCCGCCGCCGCCGCCTCGCGAAGTCGCCGCGCGATTGCCGGGCCGGCCGTGCCCCGTGCGCCGTCGCGGGCGCTCCTCTGGGCCTTCGCGCGAGGGGGGCGCCCGCCGCCCCCCCGCCGCACTCACGCGGAGCCACGCGGCCGATCCCGCGAGCCCCCTGGACCCAAAGGCGCCTCCAATCCTTTCCGGGGGGAGCTTCTTCCCTGACCTTCCAGGAGGGCCAGAGAGCACCAGGACCTCGACGCCCAGATTCCTGTCGAGGGCCCAGGCAGTCCAGATAGGTCTGCGAGCCCGGAGTGCTATGTTGTGACAGTCTGGAAGGTCAGGGTTTACTTCCGCTGGCTTCCGCTGGCCTTCCGCCGCCTTCCGCCGGCGGAGGCGGCCTCGTTCTGCTTCCGCTGGCTTCCGCCGCCCCTCCGCCGCCTTTCGCCGAGGGAGAGACAACGACTCCTCCGATCCTCGAGGGCAAGGCCTTCTGCATGGAACGCCTCACATGACTTCTCTTTCAAAATGAAGCGGGGCACGGCCCCAACTGGGGGATTTCCTTTTGGAACTGAGCCAGGAAGAACTCGACGAACTGAACCCGGCGCGCCCGGCGGTGGGGAGCCCGCGGGACCCGGGGAACCCGAGGAACCTCCGAGGAACGGGCAACGTAACAATAGGAGGCACTGGGGGCGGGGAACCCGAGGAACCCGAGGAACCCGAGGAACCTCCGAGCAAAGCGCAAAGTAACAACAGGAGGCATCAACCTGTAATCAGTAATCAAGTAAGAACCCACTTGGCAAACCTAGCTGGGGAAAAAGATTCGACCACCCTACAACCAGCCCAGGGTACAGGACCCCCCTGCGCGCATTGTTATTCAAATATGTTTAACGCATGATCGCTCAGTAAGCATACATATATATATATATATAAGTATGCATATATAAATAAATATCATCAAAACAAGTCTGGGCCGACCACCCTTGCAAACGTTACGATGCGGGGTCACATGAGCGCGGTGCTGCGCGCAGGTCAGAACCCTTCTAACACAAATGGTTCTCCCATCACGTCGAGACAAAACTGCTCAAACTCTGAACGAAGTCATATTAGCTAGCGCTGACCCCAAACAGCGGGTTATTGCACTGCGGAGGTGAAAGCTATGCAGTGTAAGCTATGCGGTGAAAACTATGTTGTGTGAGCTATGGAGGTGACACCTCTGCGGTGTTAGCTATATGGTGGAAGCTATGGCATGTAAGCTAGGCTGTGTGACCCTGAGGTGAAAATTATGAGGTACCAGCTCTGTGGTGCAAACTGTGATGTGTCATACATGCGGTGCAACCTATGTGTGGTGTGAGGCTACGTGGTGATAGCTGTGCCGTGCAATTTCAGACAACGGGGACTCCACGAAGCACCCACGAGGCGGCACTGGCGGCATCGTGCCGCAACCTCGGCATGCCCCCCACGCACGGGGCGTCCGCGGGGCGCCCGCGAGGCGGCTCGGACGGCCACGCGGCGAGAAGACCCGACTGCCCGGCCCCTTCGGAAAACTGAGAGACACCGAAGTGCGAGCACCGTTTGGAGAATCGTGTCTTCGCAGGGCGAGAATGACGTCATGAGAAGGTTGGCTCGGGATGCGTCCCAGGATTTCCACGAGCATCTGGCGGGGCAGCCGGCGAGGAGCCTTAGGAAGTGTTGGACAGCCTGGAGAAAACCTTCTGGAGATCCTGGAACGTATCAGCATCACGACCTCTTGCTCTGTTGACTTCAACCAAACTGCTGCTGGGCGGGCCTGTCCACAAATGCACGGCAGTGACGGCACAGGCTGGCGCTCACGGCCCCTGGACCCAGGCCTCACTGCGGCCACGGAGGGGTGGACCATAGCTCCCTGGTTCTCCTCCGGCTCAGCGCCGCGAATGAGCCTCCTCCTCCTCCTGCTACTCCTCCTCATGATGATCCTCCTCCGTCTGTTCATCATCACCTTTATCC